TCCATTTGACTTTAGTGAAATAACATCAACAATCTCAAGTTCTTTTCTCATTTATCCAGACATTTTTGTTAATGTCAGGTCAAATGAAAATGACAGGCTGCACTTTCATTCACTTTCATGGCTGTTTCTTTCAAGGTGGATATGAGCAATAAATTAGGGGGGTGCACTTGTTGGTGCACTTTGGCATTTATTCTATGACTCTGATAGGATGGAGCACCATTCTTCCTATACATAATCGCTAATTTGGGGTTTACGGTGATGAAAAACTCTAATAGGTTGGTCTAAAATGTTTTGTAGGTGTGGGATATCCCACCTGTAGCTCATCTTTGGGGTGGCTGTGACTCAAAAAGAGTTGGTCATCTTGGGGCAAGACACTGAACCCCAATTTGCCCTTGATTCATCCATTGGAGTGTGTGTGTGTGTGTGTGTGTGTGTGTGTGTGTGTGTGTGTGTGTGTGTGTGTGTGTGTGTGTGTGTGTGTGTGTGTGTGTGTTTGACAAAGTGCTTAGGTATAGAAAACTATGGTCTGTGACCCAGTATGTCCTAAAGATGGAAGAGGCAGAGCGTGTTGGTCCAGTCAACTTGTTGTGTTCTTACTGTCGCCCTTGTTGGCCTGCTTTCTCACTGCTCTGATTTATTCTTAGCTGCTCACTGCTCGAGTATAAACCCAGAGAGCGGTAGTCAGCCACTTCTCTTCTCCTCCTTCACCTCCATCAGCACTAGCTTTATATTCCTTTTGGTTTCACAGATTAGATTATTAGGTATGAATTGAGTTGGGAGTTACCAGCAGGCCTTTTTTCCCCCAGTTTTGTTTCTGATAGGTACATTTTCCAAGACTTAGCTCAAGGCCTTCTTCCTCTGATTGTTTTGCCTGGTTCTCCTTTGTAGGTAACTATAAATTTATTATTAAAATCTTACTGAAAATAACATGACTTATATATTTTATATGTCAGGTTCCCTTGAGCCATAAATGTAGGGACTGTAACAGTAACCTTTACAATCTAACGAGACTTTTCTTTAAACCAAACCAATATTGATGGAGCCACAAACAATCTGATCAAGGTGACACAGCCTGTTAAGTACAGATAAGCCTGTCAACATTAGTGATCTGTATAAATATTTAGAATTTTTACCACTGTGACCCATCTGTTCTTGGCTGTTTAAGATCATTCAATGCTTCAACTTTGTATTTTCATCACAATAACAATTGTGCATTTATGAAATTATAGAAATGAAACAAAGGAGAAAAAAAACACCTTTTTTGTAAGCCTTTTTTGTTTTTCCAAAGGTACTGCTAAAATCATTTTCTTAATCATTTTAGTATCACAAGGGGGGCTCAGGCCCATCCCAGCTCATATTGCGGGGTACAGCATAGAAGACGTCAGTCTGTCAAAGAGACAGACAACAGTTCATGCTCAGTTTCATACCTATGAACAATTTAAAATCACCAGTTAACCTGAAATGGATGGACCCTCAAATATGTCTGCAAAATGACCTTTGATGCATCAGAACCACCTGATCCTGTCATTATGGGACTCAAACGTTCAGATTTCTTGCCTAAATTACCACAAAACTATAAAAGGACAGCTCGACCGTTGGTATGTTTACCATGTTTAACATCGTTACCATGCCGACACCTGCAAGTCACAGCTGAACCCAGCCTTCCCATTACAGCGATTGGCCGGTCAGATTTTACCCGATGACTTGCTCTTTTCTTTGCATAGTGAGTTTCAGTTTCGTCCTTCTGGGCGGATGCTTGTAGTCCAAAGGTGCAGAACACATCAGCAGCAAAACAGCTTTGTTCAAGCAGCCATCACTCAAATGAATAAAGTGTAGCTGTTGATGTCCTGCTGTGTGAACTCGTTATTCTTCTTCATTGTGTTTCAATATGCTTATGTTTCGAAAATGTGGATGTGAGGACTGATGACTCACCTACTGCAAACCACATCTACTCACAGGTTCAAATAAAGTAATCGGATCATCTGGTATTTAGTGGTATTTTGCACTAAATACCACTAAATACCAGTGCTGCTGTGGCTGGCGGTAATATCATCTTGTTTGCAGAAACGTCGTCATTAATTTCAGCTGATAGCAGTACAGAATTTCATCTAATAGTTATCAAAACAGAGGCTGAAATCACAGAAATGACACAGGATCGACCACTTCAGCAGGATTGAATGAATCCACTGAGCAGGCCTTTAAAATGTCCTTACCTGGTGAAGTGAAAACAATGACCTGCTGGTGGTGCTAGATGAATAGTGGAGGGGATCAAAAACGTGCAATAGGTGCAGCATGGATGACTGCACAGTATTTATTGCTGAGATATTTCAGGCAACATTGCCATCTCTACATCCATTACTGTGATTGAAAGAGAGAAAAGCCAGACAGAAATCATCAGTTTATGTTTTTTTAAAAGCAAAAATCTGCCGTGCAATAAAATGCCAATAAACAAACTGGTTGTCCAGCACAATTTTAGACAGGTTTTTAAAAATCAGCATCACATAATGGTATGAGACTTCAGGGACTTGCTGGCTATCAAAGCAGTCAGAGAGCCATTTACCTTTAAACTCCTCTAGCCGTAGCAGCACATAATGGACAGTCAGGCCTCTCGGAGCCAGCTAGCCCATTAGCCTGGGCTAATGCGTCCAGGACTCCCCGCCATGCGCTGCCCATCACTCCAGACTGGATCTGGTTTCACACAGGAGCCGCCTCATCTCTTTGTGCTCGGGGCAACTCTCGCTCCAAAACAATGACCTCTGAGAAACCGGACAGAGCAGATCATGGAAGAGTTGCTGCTGGATGCGGCACAGAGAATGATGCCCTTTTTTCTCTCCCTCATACAAATACAGTTTCTGTCTTTAGAAGATAAAAAGGTCTTACAAGGCTGTTAAGAACTGGTACATTTACACATTTTCAGGGTTGTTACAGGCGAAAAGGGCTTCACAAGTTTAACATGCACTCTGAAATGTTCGCCACAGCAAATTGTGAGATGAAGAAGTCATACAGTAGCACATATCAAATTCCTGTTTCTCCTCAAAATGTAAAGTGGATATTGGCTCAATCAGAGGGTGAAATTGTTTTTGACCATGCCTGTGATCTTGGGTTTCACAGCTCTGCCTTGCTAAATGGACCGGGTGCATTAGGGGCCAGGGAGGAGCTCTCTGCAGAGTGCTCTTAAAAGGCGAGCAGAGAAAAACAACTTAAAGCAGCCTCCCTGCTTTTTCAGCCTCGCTGCGGAGGGACAGTGACATGTAGCAGCCGTGTAGAGGAGCGCCACATATCAGGTTGCAGCTGTCCAATCAAAACGATGATCCTGATGGAGTGACGGCAGGAATGTACAAGGAAGGTTTGATGACTGTGGGTCCTCGTGTGACACAGGATTAGAGTTTTACAATTCCAGATGAATAAGTAACAAAACTTTCATTTTGTTACTTATTCATCTCATTGGAGAAGGCATGCATTGTCTCACTGCACTGTGATGTCATTATTCAGTGTAAATACTGTAAATGTGTCTCCTGGTGTCTTTCTTCTCCTTTGCTGCAAGTTAGTTAACTTTCAGTCTCATAAACACCCACAAACACTCGTGGAGTGGCGACTCTGGTAAATCAAACTGTTTAGAGTGCCTCCGTGTTTTAATATCGATATGCTGATGCAAGATATTCATATTCAGATGCAAGAGGAAGAAAAATCACATGTTGCAAAATCAATAATTTCTCCCATTTTTAGTCAACAAACCAAAATCAGCCGTTTGTTAATCCATATCTCGGTGTTTTCTAACTTTCCTACCTGGAGCTCAGTCCCACGCATATGTGTTTCTAATGAAGGTGGGACTAATATTCTGCTGGGATGTACAAGGCCAAACAATGCCTTTGTTCAGGTACATTTGGGTAAAGGTTATCATATGAGGAGTAAATCAGGTATCTGTGTTGGGGACATTGGTTATAGCTGTGGTTTAAATGTGCTTTGCTAACTCGTCTTTTATACATATTTATTTTAATTACATAACATTCTGCATAAAAGAGACTGAAAGTTTCTAATTTTGGGGCTCACATTTTATAATACAATATATATAATAAAAATATAGACATTTACTGTAAGTCCTTATTATAATTAAACAAACAGAATGAATAAGCTATTTGGGTAATTTATTCACTGCCTACATAACTACCTATTGCAATTCGACCTTAATCAGTTTTATAATTCACATCAGCGTTGCACTCTTTAATAAATGTTAAAATACTGAACTTTAAAGTTAAAAACAACAAGGGCTCTACTTATGATTTCTGATCCCTGCTTCAACCCCAGTCCTCACAATCCTCCGCCAAACCCTGAGATATGGTACTTCTGTAAATGATTTTTCACTATTTTACTTTACATTTTTATGTCATTGTAGCTAAGAAGTTTTACATGGAGCCGTAACAAAACAGCCAGAAATCAGAATCACCTTGACATTGTTTTAAGTGTTACCCTAGCAGTAGATATTAAATGTTTGAGTACCTTGACTATAGGTTCAGGGTGTTATGTTTATAAGTAAGTAAGCAAGTAGGTAGAGGTTATATAAACGATGCTTTTTGGGGCAAAAAAAGGGAAATCACAGTGCAAAGTGCTCCACCGATGTCAAAATGAAAACTAGCAGTCTTCTGTGCTTTTCCTACAATCTGCCTGTTGCAAAATGCTCATTAAAGAAGCTGCAGAGTTGTTTTCGGGGCCACTTGAAATGTAAAAAACGTGACAGCTTAAAACTCAGCAGATTGGCCTGCAGACTGCTCACTCAAAAAGCCACATTTTCCCTCACTTTCACCATAACAAGGGTGACTCATCACACTAAAGCACGTATGCCAATAGTATGCGCTACCGGCGGGGTGTGTAAATTCCACACCTGTCCCATCATCCTCTCCCCCTCCCTCCCCTCGGCCCTCTCCCCTTCCCTCCCCTTCCTCTTTTGTGCCTTCTCTCTTTTCACACATGCTCCCCCCCCCTCATTCACTCCACACCTCACACCGAACAGCTTGAGGAGCAGATAGCAGCGCTGTCTTGCTAAGAACATGCAACAACAAAGCAGAGAAGGGTTTGAACACACAGAGGGCCTCGCTCTGTCTCATCATTCTGCTTTCCACCCCCCCCTGCACACAGGTAAGTTTGGATTCACATCTTTAACAGGTGCTTTTTTGAGATCAGTTGGTGCTTTGCTTTGCATGCAAGGTGCAATGGAATGATCATCCTAAGTGCATTTTTTCTTATTCTGGGAGTATTTTAGCAGAATTTGGTGCTGCAACTATTTTATTTTCTTTTGCCTGTGCCACTGCATCCTTCTCTTTTGCTCATTTCTACAATAACAAGTGCATTGCTCGGCTAACCTTTGTTGGAGATAACATTACCCCGAGTAGATGAAATCCAGAGAACCTGATTACGATTATGTGTGAAGTTGATAGCGGAGACTTATTTTTATCCTGCTTATTTGATTCTGAGAGGGATCATCACACTTTTTCTCCTCCAGGTGGAGGAGGAGGAGGATGTGGTGGGATGACAAAGGCTGCAGCTGCCTTTTCTTCTCCGAAAGCTGGGTGAAAATGACATAATGGCCATCGAGCTCAGGTAACTTCACTTGGACACCGATACCCTTGAAACTAAACCATCTATTGGGATGTGTTTATGAGATTTGTGCCATTGTGAGAGAGTGAAATCCAACTAATTTCGAGAGCCGAGTCTACAAGTTATTATAGGAATAATTTATAAATTTGAAAAGCTTAGCTTGGGAGGGGTTTTGTACTTTTTCTGTGCATTTACTAGGACTGAACTCGTAAATCTGAGAGGAGTTAAGAGGCAACACATTCGGACTTTTTAACTGGCAGAAAAGAGCAAAGTGTAGAGCATCAGAGCTGATGTGTGCAGGCTCCTGAGCGAGGCCACACAAACCTGAGAGTAAGTTGTTTTCCACTGAGCGGTGATGTCATGACACCGCTGTTCGAGTGGACTAACAGTTTATTCTGAAAACTGAGCCCGTGTCCCGAGGCTCAGACAAACTATATGCGTCCACACGACGAAAACAGAGCACGCTCGCCAGGGGAAAGAATAAGGTAAGAAATAAGAGAAAGCTGATATTTGGGTTTGAAGATTCTGGGGCACAAAGGCATCGTGAATGTTCACATGTTCTTCAGTAAATCTTTTTCGTTTTTCCTGCACAAAGCTGGATCATGAATGTGAGAGGCCAGCTTTTCTTCTTTTGTGGTGATATTTGATTAGTAGTAGTATGCTCAAGTACTGAGGCAGTCTTTAGTTCAGTGCTTTGGGTTTTAACATTTTCTGTGTTTCACAGGAAAAATATGTATGTATGAAAGTGTTAGACACTATAACTCACTATATGAAGCTTTTAATCTGTGACGTTAAACTGTAGCTTATGAGAGCACAGCGATTAAATAACTTGCACTTTTCATATCATGAACACAATTTACTTTTAGTCATCTGTGCCTTACTTTAGCGAGGCCTAAATACCTTTATGTGTAGAAGAGTATTTTGTTACATCGCTTCAGGGATTGAAAGCGTTATTAAAAACGCAGGTCATGAAAAGAGCTACTCATTTATTGTATTTGAAAGTGAAAATGTGCTCTAACTCTTTGGCCACCCCCTCATCTTATGTCATGTTTGTGGCCGATTAGACTGATACAGCCTGTTTTGATGAGTGAATTATGTGGTTTTTTTATAGCAAGCCCGGAGTTCTCATTTGGAATGAATCACCGCATGAAAGCAGCTGATTGTTTTCTGCAGCAGACACTATTAATCTGTGAGCTCCATTAAAGAAAAAAAATCTCCACACTATAATAAGTTGTATAAAGGTTCTTTTTCTTGCAGAATGAGCTTCACCGAGCTCAGATTTCCTGCTGCAAGCGGCACGCACCGGGCTGAGTTTTCTGAAGATGCAGAACTTAGCTCATTAGTGAGCATTACACAAAAAAGGAAATTGTTCACAGTGGCTAAGTTCAGTGTCCAACATGAAAGAATGAACTCCTGCATACCTGAGAGTCTAAGCTTTCCTCAAACTGAGAGCCGAGTGGAGAGAACGGATGCATGGGATGAACAAAAAGAGGCTGCACCGTAAAACAAAGAGGAATGCTGTAAAAGACTTTGCATTTCCAGACAAATTGGAAGGTAGTTTAGGTTCTTCTGATTTAAGGGGGGGTTTGAAGAAGAAGAAAATGGGCAACGATAGATAACAGCAGGTTGAATCAGTGTGAATTTGCACAGCCCTAGTTCTCAGAGGATTTTCAGCACTACATCTCACTTTCTGATGGGGTTATTATTCATGATTTGAGTCACAAGAATACTGGTGTGTCAAATTTGCGCTTTTCTTTTTATTATTTTTGCAGAGCTTAAAAATAGAACCACATCTTGTCAAAGTTGGTGCTTTGGGGAGTGAAATAATGAATCATTTTCCGGGGTGTGTACTCATGTGCCTACTGAACTGGATTCAGTGTGTCTTTGCAGAACTGGCTCAGTCCAGCAGGAACAAGAGTGACACCTAATGACCATCAGCATAACCAAGGATGCCATCAATATCCCCTCGAAACGATCACAACGTGCCAAAAAATGACCACAAACATGTTTATCACCACACTCGGCAGCATGATTTCAGGAGAAATGATGAGAAATGAGAGATTATGTGTCCTCATTCATCCATCCAGTGTGTGTGTGTGTGTGTGTGTGTGTGTGTCCTAATTTGTCTCCCTGTGTGGGTAAATCTGGCTGCCTCTGCAGGGAGTCGCTACCAACAGCAGCTGATTTGTGCTGAGTAACACTTTGCGTCGCCTCTCTTCATTCCTCACACGATAATAAGCTGTCAGGGTGTCTCCAAGCGTCTTCACCAAATTGGGATACACCGGCTCCAACACCTCTGCAGTCATTATATACCTGAATGGACAGGCCCTGCGTTAGCATAAGCAAAACTGATCATCATAAGACATGCTATCGATTCTGGACGTCCTCAGTTGTTGAGGTGCCGTGTGAACAATTGCTTTTCACCTTGGGCCATCAGCCTGTGGACTCATGCATTAAAAAAATCTGCAGAGATGTGCAAAAATGAGAAGAGCCTACTCAAAAATGCAATGGAATTTCATATAGATTTTCATTAATTCACTGTAGGTGAGCACAGTGCTACTGTGAACAACAAGAGAGCATTAAAGAGGGTGTACGGTGCATTTTTTTTTTTTTTTTAAAGGTGGGGGCGCGCCCTTTGCTTTCTCTTTCAATGAAACTGTGGTTATAACAGCAGGGGAGTCAAATACACTGGAGCCTGTTTGAGCAGGTGACAGAAAACGTACTCCAGTTTATTTGAAGTAGTGATTCATTAACTTGTGTTTAACGGTAAAAAGTCAGATCTTATGTTTCCCCCAAGAACTTTGTGCAGACATTATTATGCATGCATTTGGATGTCACACCCTTTATTATTACACTGTTCGTACAAATGTACAAACCTCCACAGTGGGCTTCATGATTAAACAAAGGCTGCTTCAGGTTTGTATTGATTTGCATAATAATGCACGTGTTGCTTTTTATTGCTTGTTACACGTTGAGCCTCCATATTGAGAACTATAAGCACTGTAGGGTTATTTACAAGCACACAAACGGCTTCAGCAGACCTTAAAAAAGACGTGTAATTTTAAATCATCTTATATGAAACTCCTTTTGCACCCACCAACCATTTTTTAATGTATGGATTTCAACATCTTTGCCATCCTAAACAGCAACTTTATATACGGTATAAAAGAAAAAAAACAAAGAAGGTGATTTAAAAATATAGTCTTGCTACTTCTTAATTCATAATTTTACATTTTTGTGACATAATGCAGTGTTTTGTGGTGAGTTGATGAAAGAAAACTCGCCTGAAAGCTCTCAGACAGTACTTCTGAAATTGTTCAAATATCTTTAAGACCCACACAGATGCAATCATCAGTATTTTGTAATAAATGGACACATTTGAGGAGAGAAAACAATTTCTGGGGTGGCCTAAACCCTGTTGGTGGCAGCTAAAGCTGTTTTTGTCTTATATACACTGTGTTTCCATGTATGTTTGCTCATGTTACAATAAATCAGCGCACTTATTTCTCATTTTCACAGGAAAATATGAAGAAATGAGAGGTCACTCAAGACTTTTTCACAGTACTATATATACAAACAATAAAAACACTCCTTACTCACTGCTCAGTCAGTAAAATGAAATAAAGTATCATATAAAGTTTAGCTTTTTCTAACAGGTTACTACTTCTAATGAAATATTGTGACATTATTCCTTTGACTTTTATTGTTAGTACATGGTGTGCGTTCTTCCACTTCTGCATATGTTTTTATTTCTAACTTATGCGTAAAATAGCCTGATTCAAAAGGCTAAAAAAAATCTTTGGTTTACTACCAAACTACGGCATTAGTTCTCAAGGGACACCTAACACATCCTTCATTTAATCAGTGACTGAGTACCACAAAGATACTCTCTATTTAAACTAGCCTAGTCAGCTAGTTTAAATAGAGACTCAAACTTAATGTCAGACATCAGCAGCCATTTACACAATCAGTAGTTCTCTTTAGCTAGATCAGACTCCCACAAACATTAGCAGCAGCAGCTTTAATTATGTCCTTTTCATCTAATTCTAATTCTATTATTGGTGTTTTCAAACATTAAAAATGTGCTTCAGAAAGTTTTTTTTAAAAGAAATTTGATTTTTAAGGGCCTGAGCAGGGAAATAAGGAGCAGTGATAGGTATGTTGATGGCATAATGTAAAAAGTTTTTTGGGTTTTTTTATTTAATGTGAAAAGAATATTAAAATTATTTTAGGACTAGACACGTACAGACGGCATTAATGAAATGTGTTAGTGATTTCCTAATCCAAGTGAAAACAGAAATATTCTGTAAAAGACAATAAGGAGTGTAAATACAGTAGATATGATTGGTTACTGGTTTTAAAAATACATTTAAAAAGTGGTGTGAGTTGGTTGTAATACTCCAATTCTCCACTAGGTGGAGCTGAAACCCCACGCTCACCTGTGCACACAAATTGGGGCAATTAAAGTTCTCATTCAGTCTGTTAACGTAACTTCTTCTGTGGTTTTCTTTCTTTCTTTATTTGGTGATGCTTTTGTTTCTTTGCTGTTATTCAAAGATAAATATTTTACAGGTCAGTGACGTACGAAAACATCGACGGGCGTGTTGCTGTTCGTGTGTGTGTGTGTGTGTGTGTGTGTAGAAATGTAGGAAGTAACGTTAACCTAACTTTCGGACCAGGACGACGCGGAGACGTAAATCCTGAGTTTCTGAACGAAGTTGTGATTTCTAGGAGGAAGGACGACGCCGACCTGCTGGGAAATTATTCTGTCTTCATTTGAAAGTCTCTCTTAACAGTTTCTTGGCTCGCTTTTACTTTAACACTCAGGTGAAGGTAGTTTTTTTGTTTGTTTATTTATTCCTTCTTAAAAGTAGTGTGTTAGGAGTCGGTTAGCGCCAAACGGAGGTGCAGAGATCTTCGTCTTCCCGCGGCTCTCAGCGCCTTTTCTGCTTTTAAAAGATGAAATGAGAGGTTTTGCTCAAAAGGTGAGGCTCGTTTTGGCATTTTAATTCTTTAGTGCTGTTTACCTGTGCGGCTGTTTACTTGGGAATTTAGATGGGAATAGTGGGAACTTAAACACTGCTGTTTGTCCTTCTTTTCCTGATTTTGTGTGTGTGTGTGTGTGTGTGTGTGTGTGTGTGTGTGTGTGAGTGTGTGCGTGCTTACACAGCGGACCCCTGCTGAGGTTTTGGAGCAGTGAGTTATGCTGAGGACTGTCTCTGACTGTCAGGATGAGCACTACAGATGGATCTGGGGCCCTAGAGTATGATGAAGAGGCCCGTGTTGTGCAGATTTACCCCAGGGTGTCGTATGACACAGCTGCCTACTGTCCCCTGCAGATCAGTGTTGGGGACACCGTGGCGTTGGTCATCCACAATGCTGTGGTTACTCTGGACCTGGACCCCAACCAGGCATACGACCTGCTGGAGGTGAGGAAGAGCGGGGGAAAGGAGAGGCCGCTGGAGGCAGGGGACTCCCCTTTGGAGCGAGTCCTGCTGTGGCCCAGAGAGGTGCAGAAGTGGCACCCTCAGAGCAAAGGGTACTACTTCATCCTGCAGCAGCAGCAGGTCAACAATGGAGGGTGCAGAACAGAGATCTGCACAGGGGAGTGTGATGACCTCTGCAGCCTCTCCACACTGACTGAGGAGAATGTTCTGGAGGTTTTACGCCAACGCTTCTACAAGCACAAAATCTACACCTACGCCAACAAGATCCTCATCGCCATCAATCCCAATAAGTTCCTGCCTGTTTACTACAACCCCATGTACGTCAAAATGTATGAGAACCAGCCACTGGGAAAACTGAGTCCTCACATTTTTGCCATCGCCGACGTGACCTTCCGCGCTATGCTGAACAGGCAGGCTAACCAGTGTATTGTGATAACTGGTGAGAGTGGCTCAGGGAAGACTGAAAGCAGCAGTTATCTCATTCATTGCTTGACTTCACTCAGCCAGAACATGTACTCCAGCGGGCTGGAAAGGACCATCCTCGGGTCCGGGCCGGTGTTGGAGGTAGGTCACTGTTATGTGATGCTGCTCAAACCACTGATGTAAAAAAAAAAATTCAAAATAAAAGTTGGAGCAGTCCAGAGTTTGCCCCCCCTCAAAAGAGGCAGAGGCAACAAGATACCAGAGCTTCTCACATAGCACAACATCTGATAAAAATCACCTTCGATTGTTATCATTTAGGTGTAGAAACACTGAAGAATTCACATTGTTGCCTCCTGAGTCACCAAAACAGTTCACCAAGTCGACTGATTCCAACTGTCACAAACATTTTTCACAGCGTCTCTATTACCTGTTAAATATCA